GTCCAATATCCTCATTATGAGTTGATCTTCCCCTTTTATTTTTGACATCTGTTAGAAGAATCAGCTTGAGGCAGAACCTCATTAACAATATTTAACTTCTAACTTCATAAGAAAGTATGGCGTACATTATACTGTCTTCAAGGGCTGAATCTAATCCAATGTTTATGCAAAAACCTTATTCCAGGGCAACCATTCTATCAGTTAGCATTCATTCTGTCTGCCTTGTAAGCGACACAGAAAGATTGTGTAACCACGTTGACCCATCTCACATGTAATTATCCAGGTTTGGCTTGAATTTCATGCAGGCTCTCTAACAATTTTCCTGCATTCTTCTCCCTTAATGCTCTTTGGTTTACGATTTTCAAAAGCATCCAAAGCTTGAAAATTAGTAAAATAAAAATTTAAGTCGAAAATCAGTTCTAGATGACCCGAGACACCAATACTTCCACCAAATGACTAAACATCTCAACCAAAAGATTCAAAATTCACAGATAGCTTCATTATCCCACATAACCCAACAATTGTTTTATTGAGAAGAAAATGGACCAAAAAACTAGGAATTAGTGATGCTAAAGTAAGAAAAGTACTATAAAAGCTTTTATGTACAAAGCATTCATTTTAACTGACATTCTATTAACTAATCATTTTGGAGGAAACTCGTTGCCACTTTAAATATATAGCTAGTGCCAACTCCTGTTTGTTTCAAAGAAATCTACTTAGTCAGCAGTTTCTGTGAAAGGGTTATCCACTGTTGTCCTTGAAATGTTTTCTTTTTATTATATCTTGCTTGTTTGTGGCAGGATAATAAATACTACTCTTCTATAAAAACAAAAAGTAACTTTAGAATAGTCAGGCATAATTTTTCCTTGTCTGTCTATATCAATACATAATTTTCTGTCTTTAAAATCAAAAAGTAATTATCAATCCAGCATTTAAAACATCTTCTATTTCTTGTACCCTATCTCTAAAATAATTTTGAGTAGAGAAAGGATATGACACTATTCACTGGTTAAGGGAAAAAAAAAAAAAAGAATTACCCAGCACCTCCTCTTTCATTAGTCTTGTATAGTATGATATTCTACTTGCTACTCAGGAGACTAGACCACTGGTGAGATGCCCTAATTCTCTTATACAAAATACAGCAATCTAGCTCTATGCATGTTTAAAGTCAATAGATGACACACCGCCAAGGAAAGAAATTGATGCACAATTCTACAAGATGGATGTTCTTGTGATGTTCATATTGTATTTTAATTCTAAATGCCATTAGTTAAGTATCAGTTAGTATTTTAATTCTCTTTAACTGTCCCTGAGTGGACAGTGTATAGACAGACATCTGATGTGTTTGCATTCAATTTTCTGGTTGCCAGGTAGCTCAAACCAAGACTAACCAGGCTTGCCTGTCACTCAGCAATATCCCCAAGGAGATGGTTAGAGCTGCTCCCTAGTCAGGAAACAAAGAGGTTCCTCCACCAACTCACAGCAAGAGAATGCTACCAACTCTGCATTAATGCCAAATGTTGGACGAGCATTTTTAATTAATTTATTTATTCACTTTATATCCTGATCGATCACAGCCCCCTCCCTCTTATCCTCCCCACCCACCCACCCACCCCACTCATTAAGTCCTATCAGGACTGAGGAAGTCCTTTTCCCCTGTGGTCTGGCAAGGCAGCTCTGCCAAGGGAAAATGATCAGAAAGCAGGAAACAGAGTCCATGTCAGAGACAGCTCTTGCTCCCCTTACTAGGAAACCACATGAAACCTGAGCTGCCCATCTGCTACATCTGTGTAACAGCCCTAGGTCCATTCTATGCTTGGGCCTTGGTTGGTACTTCAGTTTCCACAAGCCCCTCTGGGTCCTGGTTAGTTGGCTCCGTTGGTCTTCTTAAAGAGCTCCTGGCACCTTCAGGTCCTTCTCCTTCCCACTTTTCCACAAGACTCCCTATGCTTCATGCAATGTTTGGCTATGAGACTCAGCATCTGTTTCGATCCACTGCTGGGTGGAGCCTCTCAGAGGACAACTCTGCTAGGCTCCTGTCTTGTTCCCTTCTTCAGTAGCTTCCTCTGTCTATTCTATTTTCTCTTCTGAGTGAGATTTAAGCATCCTCCCTTGTGTCCTCCTTGTTGCTTATCTTCTTTGGATTTGTGAATTGTAGTATGTCTATCCTGTACTGTATGGCTAGAATCTGCTTATAAGTGAGTACATACCAGGTGTATCTATCTGGGTCCAGGTTACCTCACTCAGGATGATCTTTACTAATTCTATCCATTTGCCTGCAAATTTCATGATTTCCTTGTTTTTAATAGCTGAGTAGTATTCCATTGGACAGGTTTTTGTTTATTGACTTGGTTGATTGGTTAGTTGGTTGGTTGGTTGGTTGGTTGGTTGGTTGGTTTTTTGTTTTGCTTTTGTTTTCTGTTTGGTTGGCTTGGGTTTTTGTTGTTGTGGTGGTGGTGGCTTGTATGTTTGTTTTACATTGGCTAGAGCTTGTGATTTGAAATGAAAGTCTTTTAGGAGTGAAGTTGGTACATGCCAGGGATAGATGCAAAGGAACAGCTAACAACATTGTGTGACTAAGGCAATACAGGTGAAGGACGTAGATGTATTAGGGAGAGAGAAGAGAGAAGAAGGGAAAGGAGGCAGAGTAGAGAAAATAAGACTGGATCTTGAGACTTTAGTAAATAAACAAAGATGATTATAAATAGGCCCCAACGAGCTGACTTTTTAGTTAGATTCCACGATGGCTCAACAGGAAGAACAACATGTAAGCACTGTTAATCCCCACCAATCACGCTCTACCCATCGGAGGGAACCTGGTCGTTCAGGAGCTGCCACTAATCTCCTGAATCAATCCCGGCACAAAAGCCCATCATGCAAACAAAAATTATTCCATCAGGTTGTCTTCAGTCATCTTAAAGACATCCTTTTTCAAAAGAATAATGTGCCATTGGCTTTTTAAGAATGAGGGAAAGTTATTATTATATAAAAAAGGATTTTGCAATTTTTGAAGAGCTTGAGAGACAAATAAAATGTTGTTATTTAAGTCTAAACATTATAAGTCTAGGGTTTCCTCCCATATTTCTGAGACAGAAATGTCATTAACCCAACCCATGTCTCAGTTTCTCCTCTGTACACAGAAAATAATCCCAGTCAAGCCACACATCACACATCTCAGTAAACTCAAAACTCTACCCATGAAAGTCATGTGTATTGCTCTCGTAAACTTGTCTTGGGCAACAAACCTAGGCTGAATAAATGATATCTAGAACTTTCCATTTTCCAAAGTGGTTTCTTTCTTCAGTCTTATCTAATTCTCCAAATCATGATATGACAGGGAGTTGAGACAGGTGAGTATAGTTACAGGTGTCACTAAACATTCTACAAATGAAGAGCCCGATGTCAAAGACGATAAATGGGTCTGCCACTAGTCCCGCAGCTAGGTAGAAGCAAAAGAATGATAACTGCCCAAGTCCCTTCAAACCTACCTCTGTGAGTTTATCCTTCTGGATTTTAAGATTCACTGTATATGCAGTACAACCACTGTAACCTTAATAGTAACTTAGTAAATGAACCATGGAATCAGTGCTTTCTACTTTGATGAGGAACACAGTAATTTAATAATTTAAAGTGTATTCTGCTTAAAATATTAGAGATTTTAAAACTAGATACTCACATAAAACTGGGTACACACATAATATGCTGCCTGTTTCTTCTGTCTCTTAAAAAAATCATCTTCTAATTGCAATGTTTGTGGATTTGTAAGCCAAAGCTACAAATAACAAGGTAAAACTGGACTTCCTATTGCCAATTCATGTCTCGCTTAAGAGTGAAATTCTTGTTTGATATTAGACAGAACTGTTTATAAGTGAGTTATTATAAACAAATTTTAACAAGCAGTTTTTGAATAGTATATACAACCACTGTCTCCAAACAAAAATATTTCTCAAGTTATATCTCTACATATATTCATGCTCTCAGCAGAGCTTTATAACCCAAAACAGCCCCTTGTGAGTTCATCAGGGAATCTCTGCTACCAAAAACAGTACCACACAGAAACATGTGTGAATAATGCGATCAGAAGGATTACCCCACAGAAGCGTTGAAACCCACACACTCAGGCAACTGGCTACCTGAATGGTGCCTATCAGCTCATCAATCATTTAAGTTAGCTAAGTAGCAGAAATCCCTTTCACATCACTGTTGAGAGAAGGTACAATAGGAGGGAGGGTACTCGAGGATCCTCATCCTAAAACATGCCTGTCCTTTGAAAACCCACTAGGCAGATTCCGGCACCAGAGGCCAGGGAGATCCTGGGGCTCAGCTTCAGAGCAGAGTAAGTAGGCATCTGATTCTCACACCCTTCCCGCAATATTTTGCACTTTGTTCCGGTCTGGCCGAGGCCTCTAGCCTTTTTCCTTGCTCCAAAGACACCAAGAGTCTCCGCGGCCACCCGAGTGTCCGGACAGAAGAAGTGTTTTTTCCCCTTCCGTCTGGGGTAAGGGGTTCCTCACCAGGACCCTATGCCCCTGGGGAGGGGAGTCGGTGACACCAGGGCGGAGCAAAAGACAGAGCGAGGTTGGCGACTTCCATGCCATCACCGCAGCCCCGGCGCCTTCCCGCCTCCGCCCAGGCCATCTTTAGGAGTCCCCAGAGCGCAAAGCCGGGATAAGAGTGGAGAGGGGAAGTGAAACGACGAGAGGATGCGAGGTGTGAGTGTGGACACACACAGGGCAGCCGCAGGTAGAACAACCCCACCTCTCCCCAACTCGCTCCCCGGACCTGCCCGCAGCCCCGCCACTCTGGGAATCCCGGCGCCAGGACAAAGCTGCCGCGGCCTCTCCATCAGCTCGGGGAGGGCTCGCCCCGGCTCACGGATCTCCCCTGGCCCGGACCCAGTCCCAAAGGACCTCGGGGACGTCCGATGGGGAGAGGAGGGAGCTCGGGCTGGGCGCCCGCAGCGCCTGGACCCGGCGTCCCCGCTGGGCTCCTGCGCTCACCTGTTCAGCACTTTGCGGATCCTCTGGCGCATGCCAGCCCGGGAGGAGGCGGACAGGCTCCCGCTGCCCTCCGCTGGCAGGTTCTCTATGGTGGTCACCACATGGTTCGGCGGGGCCGGCGGCGGTGGCGGCTGCAGCTGGGGCTGTGGAGGCTCGGGAGGAATCATCGCTGCGGAGGCGGCGGCGGCGGCTGGCTCTCAGAACGCTGCCCCGCACATAGTGCGCGGGCTCCGGGCCCGGGAACACGCAGAGGACCCGGCCGAGCAGCCCGGGCCCGGGAGGCGGTGCCGCCTTCCAAGCGACGAAGCGGGGAGGTACCCGCGGCTCCGGCCGCCTCCTCCCAGCGCAGGGCTCTCCGGCTTGCTGCCCAGTCCTGGCTTCACACCCTCGCTCCGGGCCCGCCGCCGCCTCCTTCCCGGGCTCTTCCCGAGCTGCGACCCAAGTCCTGGCACACCCCACCAAGTGCTTGCAAAGGGGGTCGGCGGGCACCCGGGGCTGCCGGGTCCACTCCGAGGACCGTGCAGAGAGAGAGGAACGGGGCTCTTGGGTATCCTCTTCCCTCGAGTGCCTGGGGCTTGTCCTGGCGATAGCAGTTGTGGTGGCGCCGCTACAGCTGGTGCCGGGTTCGCTCGGAAAGCTGCCGTCTGTGTCTCACGGAGTGAGAGACCGAGAGTGAACCTGGAGCGCCGGGCGGGGGCGCCTTGCTGGCGGAGGGGGGCGCGGGGTGGGGGTCTGGATAGGCGCTCTCTGCTCTCGCCAGAGGGCGCTCCGGAGGCACCTCCTGGCGTCCAGAGAGACCCTAGATCTCGGATGCTGTGACTGGTGGTGAGCGATTTTGTCTTTTTAGGGCAACACAGGGCAGCACCTCTCTCTGAAACTGAGGCGGATTCTTCTTGCTTCCGCGGAGGCTCTGCGGAATCCAGCACCTCGGGTCCGGGACAGCGGCACTTCATAGAAAAAGCTGTTGGTCCAGGTAACAAATCCAAACGGAGCACCCGAAATAATCACAGGTACGCTCATCAGAATTGACCTGGAGGAAATAGGAAGAAAAACAGTTTCTCGCCAAAAGAAGAAGAAAAAAAGATGCATTCTGGCAACTGGGAACAGCAAACCAAGTCATCCCCAAAACATCTCCGTTTAGGCGACTGAGCCCAGTGAAAGGAAAGCCAGCTAATCTAAAGGTGCTTCTGAAGAAAACAGAGAGACAGATGGCAGGCAGTTTCTTAAATTCTAGGGCAAGGCTACTCACGAGTCTCCCAGGGTCGTTGTAAGAGTTGAATGAAGTAAACCACTCATCAGGAGAGCCTAATGGCTCCTGCAAGGTCTTCGAGCTGTGAAAGGGATAACTGTGTTATCCCTGATCAAGCCTACTTCCTACCGAACAGACTTTGTCCGGGGCATTCCTTAAACCTATTGATCTGCATTTCAACCAGTAATTGACTCTGGACATTTTCTCAAATGCCCTTATCTAGATTGCCTGTGAAAGGATCTTGCAACGAAAATGATATGCATTTAAGATTTTTCTCCGCTTCTCTGCAGAATGGAGAATTGATCGCAGTAAGTTTAACAGGTATATTTGTTCACACAAAAGCACGTTGATGATGCCACTGAATCTAAACGCTCTGGAGACTAGCAAATACAACTACTGTTTAGGATGTTCAGGGCCAAATAACATTCAAAAGTAGATTATATATTCTCAAAGAAGGGAAAGAGGGCAGTGGGTGAGAGGGAAAAGCCAGTCCCTTTTATAATATTGGGGGTCCTCTTAAAAAAAACTGGATCAATAGACATGTACAACACCTCTCCAGTCTATATTTAAGTATCTGTCAAACCCAGTTTCTACCTGAACTATCCCTAGGGTCCCTTTCTACAAAATTCCACCCAAATTGGCACATTTGCTGTTTTATAATTAGAACATCACCCTATGCCTTCTCACTGAGTTTTCATTCTAGAATGTTCACCCCAGATTTTCAGGACAGGTGTAAGAACTGCTACAAACAAGAACAAGGCTTGTAACCTTGGGAACATTAAAATTCCAATAGATTGCAATGGTTTTGCCCTTGGGGAACTTCCGAAATAGCAGGGATGAGTAAAATGAATTTCAGCTGGACCTGGCAACAAATCTCAGTAAGATTGTCTCTATTAAAACAGCATTTATGGTCATTTCAGGTGTCTTCCTTGAATAACTGGTTGCTTCAGTGCCCTCTTTTGTCAATTCCTTGGCTCAATTCCTTTTGAATGTTCCTGGCATATCGAAACTCAGTCCTGTGGCTGCACTTCGTGTCCGCATATATATCTGGTCATTTCTCTAGAGGGACTGCTAAACCCAAATTTCTACAGCCCCACTGAGTCAGGAAGGGAGAAAACAACAGTCAGGAGATGAGATAAGAGGTGGTGCTGGCTGGTTAATGTCAACTCAACACAAGAGTTATCTGAAAGGAGGGACTCTCGGTTAAGAAAATACCCTCATAAGATCAGGCAAGCAAGCCTGTAAGGCATTTTCTTAATTAGTGGTTGATGTGAGAGGGCTTGGTCCATTGTCAGTGTGGCATGCCTTGGCTGGTGGTCCTGAGTTTTATAAGACAGCAGGCTGAGCAAGCCTTGGCAAGGAAGCCAGGAAGCACCCTTCTGTGGCCTCTGCATCAGCTTCTGCCCCTAGGCTCCTGTTCTGTTTTAGCTCCTGCCCTTACTTCCCGAAGGGAAGGACTACAGTGTGAAAGTGTAAGCCAAATAAATCCTTTCCTCCCCAACTTCCTTTTGGTCATGGTCTTTCCTCAGAGCAATAGTAACCCTAACTAGTTCAAGGTAAAAACTCAACTCCTGCCAGAAAACACCTTGTATTGTCTCATATAGTAGATGAGCGGAACCTCTCGGATTCCGTGTTACACACTCAACTCTTAAATAGCTAAGTAGCTTGTAAGAGATGGGGGAACGGATGTCAAAGGTGCAAATATCACAGCAGCAAATCTGACATGGAATTAAACAGAAAAGATACGGGAAAGTCATTGTCCCTCTTTCCTGCTACAAGAGTGCTGCTTGTCTCTTGTCTCAAAATATATTATCCATGACTTCTTATCAAATTGGGGTAAGGGTGGGGGATACAATATGACTCTTCGTGGTGCCATATAGGTCCATAAGCTATCACCTTACAACTCCCTTGCATCAAGTCAGTGGCTTGATGCTGTCGCAAAACGTCCATTCAGTAGTTTTTCCTCCTGTACTATTACATTACCTGGGAAGTTCTGAAGACACACACTAATCCTGTTGAATTCCTTAAGGAAGCAAAAGTCGGCAATTAACTCAACTACCCCTTTGTAAAGTGTTGCTCATTTTGAAGTCATTTACCTCATGGAAGGATGTGCGTAGTTTGGCCTAAAGTCCAGACCTCTGGGCCATCTGGCATTTTGACTAGTTTGTTCAGTCTACAGTAAACTTGTGCATCACAGTGAGAATAATGTCTGAGTCATGATCCAAAAGTACCTGAGGCCAAATTACTAAGGAACTGCCTCGATAGCTTATGGTGCTACAAATGCCAAGTGGCTCATATATCCTCCTTGTCATTTTCTTAATATTCTTCTTTCTCTCTTGTAGTGATCATGTTTAAATTATACTTTATTGGGGGTGTTTAGGCCTCTACCTCTATTCCAGCAAACCCCTCCAACCTCTAGGTAGGACAAAGGTTAGTGGGGAGAGGGAGCCCAGACTCCTTTACTTCTCTCGCTGTTTAGGGTCAATGGGTCTTTTAGGGCTATACCAATCTTGGTCAACAGCAAATGTGCCCAGCAGTCTCCTTCAAGCCCTCTGCTCCCTGAAGCATTTCTCTCCATCTGTCTGCTCCAAACCATCACACCGTCCATCTCTGTGGTCTTTCCAAATGACTACACACCACATGCCGACACCACACACCATGCCTTCTCTTTCTGGGCTCTCAATTTTTATCCTCAGAGTCCTAGATCATGGCCCTCTTTGTGCTGCAAGTGGAAGGCCATTACCAGCTGGCAAAAGTCATTTTGACTTTTAACAATTAACAACTGTGGAAAAACTATAACCCAATTAAAATCCCACACTTGGGTTTAAAACAAAAATGTATCTACATAACATAACTGAGTTCACCAAGAACCAAAACTTACATTACACTCAGCATGTCTGATTGAATCTCACACACATACACAAACACACACAAACACTGTCCTAGTAAATGTTCTATTGCTGTAAAGAGATACCGTGATCAAGGTAACTCATAAAAAATGTGTATTTGCAGCTTGCTTATAGTTTCAGAGGTTTATTTCATGACTATCGTGGCAGGGAGCATGGCAACACACAGGCAGACACGGTGTTGGAGAAATAACCAAGAGTTCTACATCAAGATGCATGAACAGCAGGAAGAAATACATGGGTTCTAGCTTGTATTTTTGACACTTCAAAGCCCACCCACCCCTAGTGGAACACTTTTTCCAGTAAGGCCACACCTCCTAATCCTTCCTACTAGTGTCACTCTCTGAAGACTAAACACTCAAATATATAAGGCTATCGGTATCGTTCTTACTCAAACCACTCCTTGGCCCTATAGACTTGTAGCCATATTGATATGAAAAAAAAAAAAATTCAGTCAACTTTGAAAGTTCCTGTACTCTATCAGAGTATCAATACTATGTAAAAGGCTAAAGTTCAAAGTCTCTTCTGGGACTCATGCAATCTCTTAACTATAATCCCCATAAAATCAAAATCAAAAAACAGATCACATACTTTTTTAATTTTTATTAATTACGTTTTATTCACTTTGTATCCCATCTGTAGCCCCTTCCCTCATCTATCACCCTTTCTCCCTCTTCTTCTCCTATGCCCCTCCTCCAGTCCACTGATAGAAAAGATCCTCCTCCTCTCCTCTTCCATCTGACCCTAGTCTATCAGGTCTCATCAGGACTGACTGCATTGTCTTCCTCTATGGCCTGGAATGGCTGCTCCCCCCTCAGGGGGATGTGATCAAAGAGCCAGCTACTGAGTTCATGTCAGAACAGTCCCTGCTCCTCTTACTAGGGTACCCACTTGGAGACTCAGCTGTCATGGGATACATCTGTGCAGAGGTTCTAGGTTATCTCCATGCATGGTTCTTGGTCGGAGTATTATGCTCAGAAAAGACCCCTGGGTCCAGATTTCTTGGTTCTGTTGCTCTCCTTGTGGAGCTCCTGTCCCCTTCAGGTCTTTCTCTCTCTACCTTCTTTCATAAGATTCCCTGCATACAAATGATATATAGTTCCATTTCAAATGTGGTAGGTGAGGAAGCATAGTGAGAAAATACGGACCAAAGCAAGAATGAAAACAATCTGGGAAAACTCCAAACTTCAACTCCAAGTCTGATGTCAAAGAATCTTCAGATCTCCAACTCAGTTCAGCTTTGTTGACTGTGATGCACTTTTCTGTCTTGGGCTGGTGCCACTCCCTGTTACCAGCTTTCCTTGGCATGTATCCCCCATGTCTGGCATCTCCAACATCTTGAAGTCTCCAACGCAATCCAGCCTTCAACTTGACAGCTTCACACAATGGCCTTTCTGGACCTCCATAAAGGGACACCCCTGGCACACACCTGACCTCAGCAGTTTGTCTTTGCTGCAGAAGGAGATTTCACAACTCCTCCCTTGCATCCTTGACTCTAAAGCCAGCACCAAG